GGGAGTTATCCATGTTGCCCAGCTTGGAGAGAGCTGCCATGATAGACTGCAACCTCTGAGCAGCAGGACCTCCCAGCACTAGGCATGGCTTGAGCTTTTGAAACCTCAAATCCCTCTCCATGTGACACATTTCTTTCGACAAGGCCACACCAACTCCAACAAGGCCAAACCTTCTAATAATGCCTTTCCCAGTGGGCCTAAACCCACATTCTACTACCTGGCCACCATACACCTGTAGTCATAACATAGTGCAAAATGCATTTAGTCCAACCTCTACAAGCCCTCATAGCCTATAACAGTCTCAAACTTGCTTAAAAATTCAGTCTCTTCTGAGATTCATGCAATCTTTTAATTTTAACCCCTGTACAATCAAAACGAAAAAGCAGATCATATATTCCAACATATAATGGCACAGGATATTCATTACTGTTCCAAAAGGAATGGAGGGAAACATAATGAGAAAATATTGAACCAAAACAGGACCAAAACCCATCTGGGTAGACTCCAAACTCTACATCTCCATGTCTGATGTCAAATTGATCTTCAGATCTCCAACTCCTTTTGACTTTGTTGATTGCAACACACTTCTCTCTCTTGGGCTGGTTCTACTCTCTATTAACAGCTTTCCTAGGCAGGTATCCCACAGCTCTGGCATCTCCAACACTTTCAGGTCTTCAAGGCAATCCAGGCTTCAACTTCACAGGGATCCTAACTCTTGCCTTTACTTTCTTATATCTCTTTATAGGCACCAGCCAAGGACTTCCTTTCCATCCTACATATAACAATTATTCAGATAAAACCACTGATGAACATTCAAGGTCCCTTAGAAAGACCCACTGCAATAGTACCCCAACTGCTGCACCTGACAACCCTACTCAACTTTAAAAGGCTATGTAGATCATGACCCCAGTTTCTTAATAAAAGCTAAGGTTACCTCTTCAGAGGAGGGAAAGATGAGGCCAGGAGATTAAAAAACAAACAAAACAAAACAGGACAGCCTATTTAGGTATTGGGGTCTGGATTCATGCCCTTGACTACAAATTAAAAATGTCCTTGGTTCTGTACTGCCAGATGCCGGAATTGCCAAAGAGTAATTGTGGGCTCTGATCTCTGGTCTGACTCCTAAATGATTTCAGGGTTACTTCTTTAGATGAGGAGAATGATGAGAACAGGAGACAGAAACTGGTCTGGTAGGGTTAGGACCTCAAAACAGAAGTTCCATACATGTTCTTGCTGGAGCAGTGCCAGAGTTAAACAGTTGTTTCTTTATGATTCCCTAAGTGAGTGCTTTTGCATAAAGCCTCCATGTGACTACATGACTGAAACTGAGAGGAGGCACATAAACACTTTGCTGGGAAAACTGAACTAATCAACTCATACTCCTCCACATACTTCACCCAGTTTCTGCCATTAGTCCTTTAAAAATGCCCCAGACTAATAACTTGTTGTTATCCTATCTCCTGGGACCCTTCCTCTTACACAAGAGCCCTGTTCTATATCGATATTCTTCCTTCCTTCCTTCTCTCCTTTGACTCCTACCTATGAATCTATAATAAACTTTTTTTTATTTATATGAAACTCAAAAATATGTTTACTTCCAAGGATTGAATATACCATTCCTTGCTTTCCTGGTTTTCATCATTGCTGATAAAAGGTATACTATCCTAAAGTATTTGGCTTATAGATAAAGAAGTGCTTTTTTTTCTTTTCTATTATAGCTTTTAATGTTATATATTTGCTTTGTATTTTTGACATCTTGACTATAATATGGCATAGAAAGACCTTTCTCTGGTTATGTCTATTTGGGATTCTAAATGCCTCTTATGTTTGAATGTCCCTTTTTTTTTCTATCTTTGGTAGTTTTTCTATTATTTCATTGGATGGATTTTGGATGCATTTAGTTTTTTTAATGTACGTTTTTAACATCTAAAATTCACAAATGTTTATTTGGGGAGTGTGTGTGCACACTCATGCATAGACATGTATCCACATGTAAATGTTAGAGAACAACTTGCAGGAATCTGCTATTAATGTGTGTCTGAGGATCAAATTCAGGTCTTCAGGTTTGGCAATAAACACCTTTAACCACTACACCGTCTTACTATCCCTATATTTAATTTTTAAAATTACATTTTACTTATATGTATGTGTATATGCCATAGTATGTGTGGATTATCTATTAATGTAATGTGACAATGGCTTACCAGCATCTGTCTCCGGTGACTCCATGGCTTTTCTCTTACTCCTCCCTTCTTCCTCTCAGCATTCAGCTTAGTTTTGCCCACCTAGCTAAGTTCTGTTCTTCCCTGCCATAGACTCAGAGCAGTTCATTAATGATTCATTTTTGGTAATTATTCATTAATGGTAATCACAGCACACAGAGGGACTCCCACATCTTTTCTAATGATGTTGTTTCCCATGTGTTTTTTTTATCTGATTGATTGACTTTTGTTTGGTTCTTTTTCATAATCTCAATTTCATTACTGAATCGTCCCTGATAGCTTTTTGTTTGTTCATTTCTTTGTTTTTCATCCACGTTGCCTACTTTCTCATCTACTTTGTTGACTTTCTAATCTAGGTCATGAATTGATTTTCTCATTTCATTCAGTCATTTGTTGAGTCCTCTTCAATGTGGTAATTGAACTTTCTAAATTTGTTTTATTTTCTATGTATAAGTATTTTCTCTGCTTGTATGTCTGTGCACCATGCGTATGAATTACCTACAGAGTCTGGAAAAGGGTGTCAGATACCCTGGAACTGGAGTTACAGATGACTGTAGATGCTGGAACCCCAACCATGGTCCTTTGGAAGATCTGTTAACTGCTGAAGCAGCTCTCTAGCCCCTAACTGAGCATTTTTAATAGTAGTATTCTATATTTTTTGTATTTCTGCTATTTCATTATTTTTGCCTTCAGTTATTGACATATTTTGGGGGTATCTTAGGGTCTTATCTTGCTGCAAATCTGTGTTTCTTTGTTATATTTTGCACATTTGTTAAAATGGGTGTGTCCTCCAGTCATTTCATTTTTCTTCTTCCCATTATTCTTGATTGGTTTGCTTATGATACCCTCTACTATTTAGCATGGAAAATCAGGTAGCAAGCAGTATCACAAACAATTATTTAGCAATAATTTCAATATTTAAATGTAATATAAAACATTCATATAATTTACTTAGACTGCCAATATGAATCAAAAGTAGAGAAGCCAATATACTTCTAATATATATGTAGTTGCAATATTTTTAAGCAAAGGATATTAATAATTAAGAAGTAAAAAGAAGAGAAAATGAAGGAATACAGTAGGAATGAAAGCATGAGTTAGATGTATAAGAGGAAATAGAGAAAATACTATAGACTAGATGCTATCTATCATAAAATCCCATTTAGTCAAGATAAAAGATAAAACACAATCATTAATTAAAATTAAAAAACTGAAAATTATAAAAAACAAAAAATAGGAAATAATATATCATTAGTCAAAGTTTCTTCTCTGTTGAAATGAATGTGCTTTCTACTAAGTTGTCTTTTGCACATAACTGTTCAGGTAGGAAGATGGCCACATATTTGTATGGTAAATCAAACTAAGTTAGGTCAGAATGTCTTCCTTGGTAGGTTAGGTTCCTGGACAAAAATCGGTTCTCCTATAGGTTCGTATACAAGTGCTTTGTCTGCCCACAGCTATAGTCTTCTTTCTGGTGTTCTGAGTAAATACATTTTCACATATAATTTTCAGTGTCTGAGGCTCGTATTTACCTTTTCCAATGGATGTCCTCCCACCTTGTTCCTGGTTGCTTTTCTACCAATCCCTCAGTTTGTGCCTGAGAATATTTGTGTCTGCAAGTTTGTCAGACTCAGTTCAGTTCTTATAGTTGTATCCTTGTTGTGCTCCTAGTTTTCCAAGTTGTATTGGTTATTTTGTTCATTGGTATGACAAAATATCTGACAAAACAACTTTTAAAAGTAAGTATTTATTTTGGCAAATGATTTAAGGTGATGTAGCCCATCATGACAGGGAAGTCCTGACAACAGAAGCAACTAACTGTAGCTTTGGTAGCAGGAATAAGCAAGCAGAGAGAGATAAATTCTGGTATATATTTAATATGAGTTAATATTTATTGGGAAAAATAAGTAATGAATGAATTTACAACTTCTCAAGAGTGGATTTGGAAGGACTTATTTTATGTTGCAGGGTATATTTGAATAAAAACTAAGTATTAGACTATGGGTCACAATCTTTACTTTGAAGAGATGGCAGATATTTTAGACTTTACAAATCACATATTACCTTCATCTACCTTCATTTTTATGTTTTTAACATTTTAAAAATAGAAAATTCATAACTCATTTATGGAGCCCATCATATATAATACCTCTCTGCATGAGGTGAGAAACAAGAAACAGTGAAGAAAACAAATATAAGCCATATGTATATCAGTAGAGGCCTTTTATCATTTTTCTTTCTGCTCTCATTCACAAAAGCTCAAGAAATTTAACTTTAGTCACCAACTTCATAGCCTGTTACTTCACTAAATCACTAAAGTCTTTTGAGTCTCTATGGTATTTATATGTTATTAGTTTCATCCCATAAATCAACATAAAATTCAGTACCTATAATCAAACCTACATTTAAATGTACATATATATATATATATATATATATATATATATATATATACAAGTTAACTCAAAATTAGTTTTTTGTTTTTACTAACTTTACTACATATTTGTCAGGTCATTAAATACAGTCACCTGAAGAACCACATAGACTTTTCTTGGTTACATGGCTTTCTTCCTCTTCCCATACCACAAATTAGGATAAGTATGCTTTTCAGATTATCTGGTTTGTCTAATTGAGATCATTAAACCTATTGTTTTATATTACTTATAGCTATATTTATAATTGTATCATTATTCAATTATACAATATACATTATTTATAATTGTATCATATATTTATCATGGCCTAATAAAAATTATGTTACTCTCTCTTATCTTCTAGGATGTGGTACCATAAGTTGTTGCACCTACAAAGCAGGCTCCAGAATTTGATGAAGAGAGGAGACATAGGTCAAGCTCTTCACCTGTCCAACTTTAAAAGTTTATTTTCCTTATCCATCCATTGGTGCCATACATTTTCCAAGTCTGTGAATTGTACTTGGCTCCAACATGAAGATCATTTGGGTAAGAGCTGTGTGAGGACATATTAATTTTTAATTGTGGTAAAAAAAAAACAGAACACTAAAATCTCAGCTTAGTTAGAGATAACTCTGCAGTGCTCCAGCCAAACTCCATACCCTGTATCATCCAAGAAAAAGAAAGAAAGCCTCAATAGTCGTGGTAAAGTGTTTAAAGCATATAGACTAGGAATATTACAACCACAGAAAGCAAGCTTTACCCACTGTATTGATTCCTAAAGCTTCTGAAAGGATTTCAAACTGAATAGTGTCAGAACACACTCCAAGAATTGGAGTTGTATGAGGGAAATTCTGAGTGCTTGTGAGAAAACTCCAAGAAAACAAGATTTTTCTTGTCTCTCATTTTCAATCTATTTCTTATCAATTTTTGACTATTCATTAAGTTTAATTCAGTTTCTTCAAAAGCACAGAATTGTTCTTGTAATTTGCTTTTATGCTCCTACAGTTGTAATTAATAGGTGTGAGTTTATTTCAGCTGTTTTTATTCATATGCCTCTATGAAAAAAACATGTTTTGCCACATGTGGCTTGTCCTTGTAATTGTATACTTTACTCAGGTGATGCTTCTTAACCCTCAGAATATAAATTATCTGATGTTCTGAATAAAGTTGGCTATTACATGAAACTTTAGAACACTTTATTTTTAGACTCACTTTTCCAGGTTGAAATGGCCAACTAGAGAAGTAAACAGATTGAATAAAACATAGAAATATATTTTCTCACAATGAGTGTCTTTGGGAAATCATAATATTGCCAAGGCTGCACTCCCTTCAAAGGTCTTTTGACAGAATCTTTCTTCAGTTAACCTATTCTATTTTCTTTTAGTTGTCAGAAATTCTTGGCTTTTTTGTTTGTTTGTTTGCTTACTTGCTTACAGAAGCATCACTTCAATCTTACTTCCATTACATTGCCCTCTACATTATTTTGAAGTAAGCCTCTCCTTATAAAGATGGCAATCATTATAACTTTTAAACTTGATTATATCAGCAATGACTACAGATGCTCCAATGATATATTTATTCTGTATTCTCAAGTCTTTCATCAATGTTTTATACTTTTGAATACAGAGATGCTATTTTGTTGGCTAAATTTATTCCTAAGTACTTTATTTTGGGAGCTAAATGAATGGAATATTTTTCTTGACTTTTTTGTAGCTAATCAACTTCAAACTAATTTTATTGATGTTGGTAACTTGTTTCTTTTCCCTTTTGACTAACATGGCTAAAGATTTATTAGTTTTATTTCTTTCAAGAAAATCATTTTTGGGTTCATTGATTTTTCTTGTCTCTCATTTTCAATCTATTTCTTATCAATTTTTGACTATTCATTAAGTTTAATTTGCTCTTGTCTTATTTTTTAATGTTATAACTTAGGCTATTAATTTTAGATCTTCTTTTCTACTGTATGCATTTATTGCAATACATTTTCCTCTAATCACTACTTTAGTGCTTTCTTGATGGTTGAAAGATTGGACACTTAAAGAAAGGAATCCCACACTAGCTCAGAACTAAGAAATAGACAGGCATTTATTAAGGGGTAAAACTTACAAATCAGGATTCTCTGCTTGAACGATGGATAAAGATGAGATCCAAAACAAACTGAACCAGCAAAACGGGGCCCAGGGGGAGGAGAGAAGGGGCCAGATGTGCTTCCACATCAGGGTAAATAGTCTATGAGGCCACGTCCCAGCAGGCGGGTAGTTACTAGATGTAAACCTTCCTACAGCACCTTCTAATTTTTTTGTAAACTGTATACTCATTTTGATTTAGTTCAGAATGTTTTTATTTTATTTGAAACTATTAAATCATATATTTTAATGCTTATATCTTAATTTCTAAATGCACAGTACTTTTATATTCTACTATTATTTATTTCTAGTTAATTTCATTATACTGAGAAAACATATATTTTTAGATTTCTTTAACTTTTTGAGCTTTGTTTTATGTCTCAGAATGTGATTTTTCTTGGTTGATTTTCATGTGTACTTTATAACAATGGTTCTTTGTTGTAGGGGGGTGCTTGTTTGTTCCTGGCTGCTCAGAACCAAAGTAATCACACAGAAACCACATTATTTGCAATACTGTTTGGCCAATAGCTTAAGCGCATTTCTGGCTAACTCATATCTTAAATTAACCCATCTCTATTAATCTATGTATCGCCATGAGGCTGTGGCTTATGAGGTAAAGTTCTAGCATCTGTCTCTGGTGGGGCTACATGGCTTCTCTCTGACTCCACCTTCTTTCTCCCAGCATTCAGTTTAATTTTCCCTGCCTACCTCTCCTCTGCCCTGCTATAGGTCCAAAGCAGTTTCTTTATTAATCAATAGTAATCACAGCATATAGAGGGGAATCCTTCATCATCTCTTTATTCCATAGGTCAATTTGTCTATTTTTATAACAGTTATATGCCATGTTCATTATTATGGTTTTGTAACATCTTTTGAAATTAGGTAATATGATATCTCTACTTTTGTCCTTTCTAGCCAAAATTGCTTTGACTATTTGGAGCTCTTAAGTTGAAATCTTTCTTCTAAGATCACAAACAAGATAGAAAGGTTACAGTTGCTGTTTCTATTGACCATTGGACTAGAGATCTTAACCAGGGTAATTAGGTAAGAAAAAGGAAAGGTATGGTTTTTCATATGAAAACCATGAAGGTTCCACCACAAATACTGAAATAACTAGTACATTAATTAAATTATACATTTTGTATAGTGAAAATGAATAATCAGAAGGAACCATACTGTTTCAGTATATGTATCATAGTTCTGAGATTGAGAATCTAGGAATAGCTTATAGCCCATCCCAAAAGTCATTCTTAAAATCCTCAAACCATCAATGTTTGTATCTTTTGCCAATTGATATATGTGTGAATTGAGTCACATTAAATATTTATGCTACTTAAAAGTCTACCATGGTTTTTATTTTCTCCTGTTCTCATATCTTCTTTATGCCTGCACAATGCTTCATTTTCTTCCAGGGATAAGTAGAACACCCTTACAATTTTCCAACTTTCCTTAGTGTACACACAGACTTGCATAAGTGTGTGTCATTCCAAACATAAATGCATATTGGAGCTTTACAAGACTCTTTATAATACCTCATTCTCTTGTTCATGTTGTTAGATTTCTGGGTATTCTTTTGCCGTGTTTCTTGACTGCACAAAACCTAGGGCATGGACTCTTCTGAACTCTTTTCCAAATCAAGTTAGTTTACTTTGACAGCAAAACTGCAGATTTTCTTGGATTGTCTACCCTTATAAAAATACTGCTAATGGAGCTAGAGTAGGAACAAAGAACATCTAAAGCAGAGCACATGTTCCTGCTTTTACTAACTAAAGTTCAGTAAATATTTTCTTGAATAAATGTTTCTTTTTAAAATAAATTTTATTTTTAATTTAGTGTAAATTTAATGTAAGTAACATGGTATTATGAGATACATGTAGACAATAAAATGATTACTTATTAAGCAAAATAATATTTATAAACCTATTAACTATACTCACAATATATATTAGATTTATAGTCTTGAATATATTCTATTCTACGGTGTATCTTCTGATATATATTTCCTATTTCCTCCCAGTTGTCTTTTTCCCAGTAACTACTGCTTTAGCCTCTATCTCTGTATAGTTGATTTTTTTTTGTTTTCCACATAACATCTGAAATCATACCATATATTTCATTCCATACGTGACTTATTTCATTATAGTGGCATATTATTTGTGTTATAATAAATAAAGCTTTCCTAAAGATCAATGCAAAGCAGACACACTAGTCATTCATACAGGTCAGGCAGTGGTGGCACACACCTTTAATACTAGGCATTATACTAGTTAGCCATAGAGACCAGGTTGTGGTGGTGCATGTCTTTGATCCCAGCACTAGACAAAAATATAAGATGGGAGGAGACAAATCTCATGTTCAGTCTCAATCTGAGTATTTGTGGAGGCAGGATCATTCACTTTCAGTCTGAGGTACAGGTAAGAGTCTGTGGCTCGCTGCTTTTCTGATCATTATTTTGAACCCCAGTGTCTCTGGGTTTTTATTATTCATGCTACAACTGGCATCCAACATTTGGGGTATGAATTCATCAAAAAGCTACTTCCCTGTGACTTTACAGCCACCAGCATAGGTCGGACCTACACATAGCTGGAGTCACTGATGTACTGGCTAGGTTTTTCTTTTTTCTCTTTTTGCGGGCTCTCCCTGAACCCCCTTCTCGGGTTGCTGCCCAACTAGTTAGTTGCCTTGAAATTCAGTCAAGCTTTTATTGTTCTATGCAACAGCAATAAGCCTCTCGTCTTCATCAATGTCAGCAGAACATTTGGTAAGACAATTGGGAAATCTTAAAAAGATGAATTAGTAAAAAGAGAGTTTTTCCCCCACATTAAAAATGGGGAAAACCATTACAATGGAAGGATTTGGGTGTCTGAATGATTAATACGCTAGACCATTTGAAATAAGAATTAAATGAGAACATAACTGATTTAGATGGGATTTATATAATATCAGTTTTAAACATTATCACCTTTATCATTTTTGGTTATCACTAAAAAGTTGGTTAATCTGAGAGCTAAGATACAGCCCTTAGAAAAACCTAATAAAACAGATCACACAGCTATTCAAATCGAAATCCAGACAGAAGAATTTAATGGAGAACCAATTTCAGCATTGCATTATAAGAATAGTGAGGAAAAGTCTAAAGTTTTCAAACAACCAACCTTAATATATCCAATAACTTTATAGGGATTGCCAAATGTCAAAAAATCCAATACAGCTAACTGGACTCCTGTGACAATGTTAGATTTAAGGAGATTTAAGAAAGCAATAGTCTCATGAGGCATGCATTCACCTTTTATGAACCAAATGTTAAATTCATGGTAAACGTGTAATAGAATTATCCCTGAAGACTAGATAGAATTGGTTAAAGGTGTTTTAGAGCCTGGTTCACAATTACAATGGAGAACCTTGTTCAGAGAAGAGGAA